TTCTCTCTCTCTCTCTCTTTATATGTCACTCTCTCTTCTCTTTCTTTCTCTCTCAGATTTCTTTCTGTTTCCTCCTCTCTCCTTTTTCTTCTTTTTTTCTCTTTCTCTTTTTCTTGGTTTCTTGTCTGTTTCTTTCCCTTTCTCTCTTTCTCTTCTCTTCTCTCTCTCTCTCGCCTCTCGCTCTCTCTCTCTCTCTCTCGCTCTCTCTCTCTCCTCTCTCTCTCTCTTCTCTCTCTCTCTCTCTCTCTCTCTCTCTCTTCTCTCTCTCTCTCTCTCTCTTCTCTCTCTCTCCTCCTCCCTCCTCTCTCCTCTCTCTCTCTCTCTCCTCTCTCTCTCTCTCTCTCTCTCTCTCCTCTCTCTCTCTCTCTCTCTCTCTCTCTCTCCTCTCTCTCTCTCTCTTTTCCACACTCTATATCTATCATTAATTATCATTCCTTCATATTTCCTTCATATCTTCAAAATACCACAGCAAACAATCCAAATTTCATTATAAAAAAAAAAAAAAAAAAAAAAAAAAAAAACTGGAGAATTCTCGCCGTATTGAGCGCAAGAAAGTAATTCACGAGCACACCCAATTAAGTAGCAGCAAGGAGCGCGGGAAGCAGGCGAAAGAGGCCCTCGAAAGCGGCATAATTAAGTCGATCGCACATTAATTATAAATTGGTTTAATTATAAAATCAGGAATTGTTTCTGATCATTCTCGATCTCGGTCAATCGCTCTCGCCCCGTTTTCTATGTCTAGGATTGAGGATTCCCGTTTTCTATAGTATTGGGGATTCCGTTTCTAGTATTGGGGATTCCGGTCTTATTCAGGATTCCCGTTTTCTTTGTCTAGTATTGGGGATTCCCGTTTTCTATGTCTAGTATTGGGGATTCCCGTTTTCTATCTTCTAGTATTCAGGATTCCCCGTTTTCTTTGTTCTTTAGTATTGGGATCTCGTTCTTGTCTAGTATTGGGGATTCCCTTTTCTATTCCTAGTAGTGATTCAGGATTCTCGTTTTCTTTGTCTGGTATTGAGGATTCTCGTTTTCTATGTCTAGGATTGGGGATTCTCTTTTTCCTTTGTCATAGTATTGAGATTCCCGTTTCTTTGCTAAGTATTGCAGGATTTCCCGTTTTCTATTGTCTTCGTATTGGGGGATTCCCGTTTTCTTCTTTTTAGTCATTCAGGGATTCCCGTTGTTTCGTATCTGTCTAGTGTTGAGGATCCTCGTCTATGTCGTATGGGGATTTTTTCCCCGTTTTTCTAATGTCTAAGGTGTTGAGGATCCCGTTTTTCTATGGTCTAGTTAGTATTGGGGATTCCCGTTTTCTCTTAGTATTGGGGATTCTCGTTTTCTATGACTAATATTGAGGATTCCCGTTTCTACACGTCTAGTATTAGGGATTCCCGTTTTCTATGTCTAGAATGGCGATTCCCGTTATTTTCTACGTCTAAAGTCTTGCGTGCCTCAGTGAAACCCAGCAGATCAGCTCTGCGTTCATCCGGCGCCCTGCTGTGACCTTAGTTCTATTTCTCCTTTTTACGATCTCATTCACTCTTGCTTTTATCTCACTTCTGCAAATCTGTGACTTAGCCTCTAATCTCTCATTTTAAGATCTCTTTCGCTAGTCTATATCTCCCTTTGCAGCTTCGTGATCTAGCTCTATTCTTCATTCTATCTTCTTCGTCACCGAGCTCTATCTCTCATCACGTGACCTCTGCGACATAGCTCTATCATCACGCGAACATAGCTCTATTCTCTCAATTAAGATCTCTTTCGCCTAGCTCTATATCTCCCTTTGCAAGCCCTCTGTGATCTAGCTCTATTCTTCATTCTACCTTCCTCACGTAGCTCTATCTCTCATCACGTGACCTCTGCGAACATTAGCCTCTGATCAGTCATGCTGACCTCATATAACATAGCTCTACCAATGCGACACCTCTGTAACATTACTCTATCTTCTCAATATTAAATATCTCTTTCGACTAGCTCTATTTCTCCTTTGCAAGCCTTCTGTGATCTAGCTCCTATTCTTCAATTCTTCTTCTTTCTCACTTTAGCTCTATCATCTTATCACGGAAACCTCTATTCGCCCAGCATCTTATATCTCATTTCTGACCCTCTAGTGAATCTAGCTCTTATATTCTTCCATTCTATCATTCTTCGTTCACGGAGCTACTATTTCTCATTCACGTGACCTCCCATGTGACATAGCTCTAATCATAACATGCGACCGTCTATAACATGGGCTCTGATCTCTCATATTAAAGAATAACATAACATATATATACAATAGCTCGATACTGCTAATTTTCGACCTCATGTGGATCTAGCTCTTTCTTCCCATTCTACCTTCCTCACAGTATGCTCTAATCTTCATCACGTGACCTCTGTGACATAGCTCTATCATCATGCGAACCTCGGTAAACTAGCCCCTACATCTCATCAATATAAAGATCTCTTATCGCTAGCTCTGATTTCCTCCCTTTGCAGCACCTCAGCTGATAAATCTAGCTCTATTCATTCATCTACACCTTCATCAACACCAATAGCCATCTAATCTCTCAATCACGGTGACCTCTGCAACACTAGCTCTTAATCTCTTTCATTATTAAGAATACTCTTTCACCTAGCACTAAATATACTATAATTCGACCTCTGATTGATCTAAGCATCATATTCTTACACCATCTACCTCAACTAGTCTATCTACTCATCACAGTGACCACTGCGACATAAGACTCATAAATCACATATACCCTTACCAACAAAGCTACTATTCATCATGCTACCTCATTATAACAATTAGCATCACTCGCTAATCTCTCATATTTAAGATACTGTTCGCGCCTAAGTTCTATATCTCTCTTTGCACAGCCTTTTGAATCTAGAGCTCATATTTTTCATTCTATCTTCTTCCTCAGCTAGCTCTAAATCTCTCATCTGTGACCTTTGCGACATAGCTCTATCATCTCTATCTCTAGATATCAAATCTCTTTCGCCTAGCTCAGTATATCTCCCTTTGCAGCCTCTGTGACTCTAGCCTCATATTCTTCATACTATCTTCTTCGTTCACGGAGCTCTATTTCATATCACTGACCTCTTGCGAACATGGCTCTACACCGCATGCATCTCAAGCACATACTCTATTACATGCGACCTCTATTAACAAGCTCTATCTCATCCAATATTGACCTTTATAACATAGCTCTATCTCATCATATGACCTCTAACATAGCGTCTATCTATCATATGACCTCTATAACCCATAGCTCATTATCTCTCATTTTAAGAAGATTCTCTCGCCATAGCTCATATCTCCCTTTGCAGCCTCTGTGATCATAGCTCTATTCTTCGAGTACAATCTTCTACGTCACGGAGCTCTATTCATCACGTACACTCTCGACATGGCATCTATCACATGCGATGCTCAGCGACATAGCTCTAATTAATCAATGCAACAATAACATAGCTCTATCGTCATCATATGACCCTTTTTATAAATCATAGCTCTACTCTCATCACGTGACCTCTGCGACATAGCTCTATCTCTCATCTACTCTGTTTCTCCCTTTGCGACTTCTCTGCCATTGCTCTATGTCTCATTTATACGCCTTTATTCACCTGCCTCTGTTCCCGAGAATCGCTAAATAAAATGATTCACTATTCATTATTCGTCAAGTGCGATGACTCACTGAAAAGGAAATTTATAACGATGTCTGGTGTTTTGTCGGAATGTCGTATGGTTTTGTTTGTGCTTTCTCTTATTCATCTTTATCTTTGTTGTTTTTCTTTTTAAACTATTTTTATTGTTGTTGTTGTTCTTAATTATTTTTTATTATTAATATTTATTATATGTCATTGTTATCATCATCACACATAGATCACTTTTAATCCTTCATCATCATCATCTTCATCTTCATATTCATTTTCATCATCATCATCATCTTCATCATCATCATCATCATCATCTTTCTTCGATCTCGTCAGTCATCATCATTATTATCACCACTATCACCACCACCATTATACATCTCGTTAATGATAAGTCTTGCTTTGTTTTAATCATTAACCAAGTACCCATTCTTATTATCTTTCTGTCTCCATCCACCAGCTCTCTCTCCCTCTCTCTTTCCACTCTCACCTGCCGACTCTCCCTCTCCCTCTTTCTCTCTTCACTCTTTCCCCGTCCCTCTCCCTCTACTCTTTCCCCTCACGATTCTCCTCCACACCTTCCCTCCCTTCTCTCTCCCTCCACTCTTTCCCCACACGAACTCTCTCCTCTCCCCCTCTCCCCACTCTTTCCCTCTCTCCCTCCACACCCCACCCCCCTTCCTCCCTCCCTCTCCCCCATTTTCGCACAGCCCCACCATGATCTACTGTTCCCCCAAAACTGCAGAAAATTATCGAAGTGCACCTTCCCCGTCGCCCTAATTCATACTGAATGACCGAGTTCCTTCTCCCACGCAGAGAGAGGACGCCCCGGTGGAGGAGGATCAGCTGAGCAATGACGTCACAGAACGCGTCTGCTAGTATCTGGCTTCGACGAGGAGCATTATTCTGGCCGAGAAGTAGCAGCTTCGTGGTTGACGAGGGTCGTTACTGGACGGAGGGACCGCGTAGAAGCGGCGAGGCCGAGGGAGAGGGTGTTTGCGAGGGGGGAGGCGGGGGAGTGGTGGCGATCTTGAAGAGAGGTCTGAGGGGCGAGGAGGAGAGAGGGAGAGAGGGTGTATCGAGGCAGGGAGGGGAGGAGGAGAGTTAGCATCTGTTGGAGGGGGGCAGAGGAGAAGAAGGATAAGGTGTGGAGGGGAAGAGGACAGGGAGAGAGGGTTTGGAGGGGGGAGGAGGGAGGAAAAGGGATATAAAGGAGTGAGAGAGGGTTGGAGCAAGGGAGGGAGGGAAGCGAGAGAGGTGTTGTGGAGGGGTGAGGGAAATGGTCTCGCCCAGGCTGTAAGAGGGAATTGGAGGGTGAGGGATGAGGACGAAGAGGAGGTGTGTTGGAGGGGAGACATGGGATGGAGCAGGAGGGAGTCTTAGAAGGTGGGGCTGGGAAGGGTTGGGGATGGGGAAGGAGGGGAGTGAATGAGAGAAGAGAGAGGAGAGAGAGGAAGCGAGAGATGAATGAGAGAGAGAGAGAGAGAGAGAGAGAGAGAGAGAGAGAAGAGACGAGAGAGCGAGAGAGAGAGATGTGAGAAAGAAAGAGGAGAGAGGGAAGAAAAGGGAGAGAGGAGAGAGAAAAGAGCGAAAGAGAGAGCAAGAGAGAGAGAGAGACGAGAGAGAGAGAGAAAGATATCTATTAATGATTAGATATAACGATGAAATACATGATAATGATAATAATAATTGACAATGACCATAATACTGATACAAAAGATAATAACTCGAAAGGCCAAGACATCAAGAATAGCACTTATCATCACCCAAGTAATAAAAATAAAATAAAATAAAACTGCAATAGATCCAATGACAGTAAGAATAGCACTTTCATCACCCAAGACACACATTTAAACTCCATATCATAAACGCCAGTCTTACCCCCTTTCACCCCCCCCTCCCCTTCCCCTTCCCCTCCGGCAGTCGACTCGTTCTGCCCGACAGACGACAGCGGCGACTGCCACGATCGCCAGCTGGAGGAGGAGGACGAGCCGAGCACCACCACCACCGCCGCCGCCGCCCTTGCCTTCGTCCCCTTCGGCGAGGGCGAGGTCGAGGACAAGGACGCCACGACGCAGGTGGTGCTGGGGAAGTGGCCGCTCATCTACGTCATCCTGATCGTGATGCTGTTCTGGATCATCCTGGTGATCGCGACGCCGTACGTGCTCACGGGAGAGACCTACGGCCGCAGGGAGGACGACTTCGGCGCCAACTCCGTCGTGGACCAGCAGGTCAGCGTGGCGTCCGGGGTGGAGTTAGAAAAGGGGGGAAAATATATGTATATACACACACGCGCACAGACAAAAAGCACACACACACACACACACACACACACACACACACACACACACACACACACACACACACACACACACACACACACACACACACACCACATATATATATATATATATATATATATTATATATATATATACATATAATATATATATATATATATATATATATTATATATATATATATATATATATATATATATATATATATATATATATATATATATATATATATATATGTATATACATACATACATACCATACATACATATTATACATATCATCTATCATACATACTATCTACACACACACACACACGCACACACACACACACGAATCCATGCCACAGATACAATACTCAGTACCGGACGTACTTCCCTAAAAACTCGTAAGTTTGTCAGCTGTCGAAAAGCCCGGATGAAATAAGCGCCACGAATAAAATCCATTTTTATTTCCAAGTCGAGCAACTAGTTCATATTTTTTTTCAGTTTCAGAATCACGGTGTTAAAAAAGAGAACGTGATTTGTCAGGAAAAAAAATGTTATTTTTTTAAATCATCAGCCTGGAATGAATCTAATTTGAAAAAGAATAAAAAAAAGTGATTTTAAGATTTTAAAATAATATATATATCTTTTTATGAAGTGCTATCATGAAGGTCTACATAAACAGATACATATAGTCATGAAAAAGAATTTAAAAAAGGATTTTAAGATTTTAAAAGAATATATATCTTTTGATGGTGCTATTATGAACATAAACATATACATATAACCCTGAAAAAAGAAAAAAAAAGGGATTTTAAGATTTTCAAAGAATAAAAAAAAGGATTATAAGATTTTCAAAGAATAAAAAAGGGGATTTTAAGATTTCCAAAGAAGAAAAAAAAGGAGATTTCAACATTTCCAAAAAATACACACCTTTTTCAATAAAATACTCCCACGAAGGTCCACACAAACACACACATATAACCCTCAAACCCTAGCACACTCAGACGCCGCTTTTCCCTACCCCTTCTTCAGGACGTTCTGCTGCTCCTGTCGTGGCTGCTCGGGGAGGCTAGCGACGACCCCTCCTGTCTGGAACGCGTCGTCTGCCTCACGCCGGCCAAGTCTTCCCGATACATCTACGTGTCGTCCATGATTTTCAAGGTCCTTCACTTCTTCCAGAGGTGAGGCGAGGGTGGAGGGAGAGGAGGGGAAGGGAGAGGAGGAGGGAGAAGGAGGAGGGGGGAGAGGGAGAGAGGAGGAGGAAGGGAAGAGAGGAGGAGGGGAAAGGAAGGAAGGAGGAGGGAGGGGAAGGAGAAGGGAGGAGGAGGAGGGAGAGGGAGAGGGAGGAGAAGGGGAAGGGAAGGGAGGGAAGGGAGAGGATGAGGAGAAGAGGATAGGGAGAGAGGGGAAAGAAGGAAGGGAGAGGAGGAGAAGAGGAGGGGGAGAGGGGAGGGAAGGAGGAGGAGAGGGAAGGAAGGGAGAGGAGGAGGAGAGGGAAGGGAAGAGGAGAGTAGGAGAGGGGAAGGGAAGGGAGAGGAGGAAGGAGAAGAGAGGGAGGAGAGGGAAAGGGAAGGGAGAGGAGAGAGAGAGGAGGCTAGGAGGGAGAGGATGGAAGGTAAGGAGAGGAGAGGAGGAGAGGGGAAGGGAAGGGAGAGGAGGAGAAGGGAGGGAGGAGGAGAGGGGGGAGGAGGAGAGAGGAGAGGGAGAGAGGGGAAGGGAGAGGAGAGGAGAGGAGGAGAGGGAAGGAGAAGGAGAGAGGAGGAGGAGAGGAGAGGAGAGGAAGGGAAGTGAAGGGAGAGCGGAGAGGAGAGTGAGGAGAGGGAGGAAGGGAGAGGAGGAGAGGAGAGGAGGAGAGGAGGAGGGAGAGGAGAGAGGGAGAAAGAGGAGACGAGGAGGGAGGGGAGGCTAGGAGAGAGAGGAAGGGGTTAGGGAGAGCGAGAGGAGAGGGAGAGAGAGAGAAGGGGAAAAGGAGGCAGGAGAGGAGAGGGAGGAGAGGGAAGGAAGGAAGGAGAGGAGAGGGGAAGAGGAGAGGAGGCAGAGGCGGAAGGGAAGGAGAGGAGCGAGGAGAGGGGAGAGGAGAAGAGGAGAGGGAGGAGGGAGGGAAGGGAAGGGAAGGGAGAGGAGGAGAGAGAGGAGAGGGAGGAGGAGGGGAAGGGAGGAGAGAAGAGAGGGGACGAGAGGGAGGCTAGTATAGAGATTTAGCGAATTTTATCATTGTTATCTTTATCGCAATTACCTTTTATCATTACATTAAATTTTTTGGGGGTACCATTTCCTCCTGTTCTTCTTTTCTGATAACATACCATTAGTGTTAGCGTGTGTGGTGTGTGTGTGTGTGTGTGTGTGTGTGGTGTGTGTGTGTGTGTGTGTGTGTGTGTGTGTGTGTGTGTGTGTGTGTGTGTGTGTGTGTGTGTGTGAAGAGAGAGAGAGAGAGAGAGAGAGAGAGAGAGAGAGAGAGAGAGAGAGAGAGAGAGAGAGAGAGAGAGAAGAGAGAGAGAGAGAGAGAGAGAGAGAGAGAGAGAGAGAGAGAGAGAGAGAGAGAGAAGAGAGAGAGAGAGAGAGAGAGAGAGAGAGAGAGAGAGAGAGAGACAGACAGACAGACAGACAGACAAAGAGAGAGAGAGAGTGAGTGAGTGTGTGTGTCTGCCACCATCCAAGCTCACGCCCTTGCTAACAGAACCAAACAAACGACCATGATTCCCAACCTTCCCTTTGCCCTTCGTCCACCAGCTGGCTTCCGTACAGCCGCCGAGTCGAGGACCTGCTGCTGCGGCTGGACGACGTGGCCAGGGACGGCTTCTCGCAGGACTGCCAACAGTACTACTGCCCGACTGTTCCCGAGCTGTGAGGATCCCAACAGCCGACTGTCCCCGAGCTGTGAGGATCCCAACAGCTGCCTCCTTCCCTACCTGACGAGCTACCTGAGATACCTGTCGGCGACCTGCTGGCGTGGTTATGAGACGAGGCATGCAGACGAACCTCCGTTACGATCGCTTTGCACACACGAAGAAAATGGGTAAAGGTTGTTATGGAAAAAAATAATGCATTCATGGAAATGGTCACACGAAGAAAATAGGTAAAGATATGGAATAAAATAATGCATTCGTGGAAATGGTCACACGAAAAAATAGGTAAAGATAGTTATGGAAAAAATAAATGATAAAAGGTCACAACGAAAAATAGGTAATGATAGTTATGGAAAAAATGATGCATTCATGGAAATGGTCTAGCACAATTAAATAGGTATATATTAAGGAAAAAAAATACATACAATAGAAAGAAAACATAGTTCTTTAAAAAAAAGCAAGTCATGGAATGAAGTTTTAGACAAAAATAGCGAAGATGAGAATAAGAAAATACACGGATAAGCCGGTTCGTGTATTTTACTGTTTTTTTTTTCCTGTTTCCTTTTGTTGTTGTTCTGTTATATATTCAGCAAGAATCCTTCACAAGAATTAAGATTAGATTTTTTATTTCTGGCTCTGGGAGAAACTCGAGAGGCATGTCAACATCTGCCTCAATTATTTTTCTTTTCTCTAAAGTTCTTAGTTCTCTTTTGTTAATTAATTTCGGGTGAGTTTGTCGGTCATTTGTGCTGATAGAATTAATTTTCACTTTGAAAACGAGAGATGCAACCTGCAACGATGTTAAAATGTTAAAATGTTGAACACGCGGTAAATATCAAATATATTCTTCGAGCCTGATGTCAAACAGATATCATTATTTATTTAATTACAACGAAATTCTTTGCTAGACGATACACAGTCTACGTAGTGGATCTTATACCGGTAAAACTGGAACAAACAAACACACAAAAGATGCTTAGAAATTGGTATCGTCCAGCTGAGATGATTCACATATTGTTCACAGTATTAGCTTTGTGCCAATCGATTTGGGTGGAAAAAGGGCATTGGTGTATTCCTTATTGTTGTTACATGTTTGGTGGAAATATTTATTTTGCATGTATTTATAGATCTGTACATTATTCTTATGTTACCTCACTCTTTCTGTACCATATTTGTTCAATAATTTATAAACAGTATAATATAAAAACGCAAATAATAAACCTATGTTACGAAAAATATATCTTTATTCGTTTTAATTTACCTCTTTGTGGAAGGTTTAATTTTTGCCTCGATGTCTATTCTGTCTTTTAATAGAATCGTATAAACACACGAATACTGAGGACATGGTTCTTTTACAGCTATATGCAGAAGGCAATATCTTTGAACTTTTTTGATACTGTGTTCCTATTTTTACATTTATTTTCATCGCAGTGACATTCTTTGTTTTCATCATAAAGATTCATACTTATAAAAAAAGTGAGATAGTACAACAACAAGTCACTTAACCGCAAAAAAACGATTATTTCCTTATGATTCGGAATTTTCTCCGTTAAACCAGTGGTTCACAACCTTTTCATTCTGTTTTAAAACGAAAAAAATGTGTTTTGCTTTCGCATTTTTTTTTAGATACTGACATGGTCACACACACACATACTTACACATACACACACTCACACAGTCACACACCTTTGATATTTATCTTTTCGAAATGATTGATTTTGTATATACCAAAAAGTATGAACATCAGGATAGGACGAGAGAGAGAGAGAGAGAGAGAGAGAGAGAGAGAGAGAGAGAGAGAGAGAGAGAGAGAGAGAGAGAGAGAGAGAGAGAGAGAGAGAGAGAGAGAGAGAGAGAGGAGAGAGAGAAGAGAGGGAAGAGAGGAAGAGAGAAAGAGAGAAGAGAGGAAAGAGGGGGAGGGAGGAGGGAGAGAGAGAGAGAGAGAGAGAGAGAGAGAGAGAGAGAGAGAGAGAGAGAGAGAGAGAGAGAGAGAGAGAGAGAGAGAGAGAGAGAGAGAGAGAGAGAGAGTGAGAAGAGAGAAAGAGAGAAGAAGATAGAAGATAGATAGATAGATAGATAGA